TCATTTTTCATGAACTTTTTAAAGGACTCACAATGCACAAAATAGCAATCTTTGTTCTTGTTGAATCGGTGAGAAGGGCAGGTTTGTCAGAGAAGCTGATCTTGAATGGGTCTGTTGCCATTTGAAGGAAATTGAAATCATTTTGCCCTAAACCAAGACCCTAAAACAGGAAATATGTAGCTTTTGCTTCAAAGTCAAGTTTAGAATTTTTTCTTTTCACTATTGAAGGCTGTAGTGAACATGAGCTTGAAAAGCTTAAGGTTCCATTTTGTGTTGTTTTGTTATTAACAGCTGCATGTCAGATGGTGAGCCTGATCCAGAATAAAGAATCCTGGGCCAGGTATAAAAACACCTGGGTTCAGGTCCTATCTGTGCCTGTGATGGTAGAGAAATAAAGCTCTATGTGTTTTAGTACCTTTATCTGTAAAATGGGGAGGATAAAAAAATGACATAGAGCACCCAGAAGTGATTTGAAAACCTGTAAAGTGCTGGGCAGTGCTGAGAACCATCAGGCCCCTGTTACATGTGAGCACGTGGAAAGCAAAGCATCCACTGAGAGCTTGGGGCACATGGGTAGCCCTCACTTGTAATGGCATACTGTCTGTCTTGTAGAGAAGACTGTGTATGTAAACTTTCCAAACGATACCCAACAGGGAGTGCATGCCATCGTTACTGTCACTTGACCCTCCTCTGGTCGTCTTCAGGGGCCAGAGTGAGCCTTACAATGTGAACACTGACCGCTTCTTACTACACAGGGGCAGAATCACACAAAGTGCAGAGTTCTGAGATCATGGCTGGGGCTTAAATTCTCCACTGCCATTTATTTTCTGTATGACTTCAAATGACTGCGTTATCCTCTCCGAGCCTTAATTGCCATGTCTGTAGAATGGAGCTAATGATAGCATCCACTAACAGAGTTGTTTTGAGGACAAATGAAAACAACATATGGAAAGTGTGTATGTGGTACATGACATGTGTTAGAAAATCAATAGCTGGTGGTTATTAAGCTTCCAATTTGCCTCATCAGACAGTCTTAACTCTGACTTCAAAAAACAGACCAGGGCCCGATGTTGTGGTTTAGCGGGTTAAGCCACCACTTGTGACACCTGTATCCCATATTGGAGTGCCCAGTTGGAGTCCTTGGCTACTCCAGGCACTTCTGATCAAGCTTCTTGCTAATGTACCTAGGAGGCTCCAGTACTTGGGTTCCCTCCACCCATGTTGGAGATGCAGATAGAGTGCCTGGTTCCTGGTTCTGACCTGGGCTGCTGCTTGGAGTGTGGACTGGCAAATGGAAGAGTCTCTCTCTTTCTTCCTCTCCCTCTCTCTCTTTCCTCCACTGTGCCCCTTTTTTTTTTTTTTAAACAAGCAGATGAGCCAGAAAGACCTTGAATAACACAGAAACAAATTTCCATCTTTTTTTTTTTTTTTGGACAGGCAGAGTGGACAGTGAGAGAGAGAGACAGAGAGAAAGGTTTTCCTTTTCCATTGGTTCACCCCCCAATGGCCACTGCGGCCAGCGCACCGCGCTGATCCAAAGCCAGGAGTCAGGTGCTTCTCCTGGTCTCTCATGTGGGTGCAGGGCCCAAGCACTTGGGCCATCCTCTACTGCCATCCCGGGCCACAGCAGAGAGCTGGCCTGGAAGAGGGCAACCGGGACAGAATCCGTTGCCCGGACTGGGGCTAGAACCCAGTGTGCTGGTACCACAGGCGAAGGATTAGCCTATTGAGCCATGGTGCCAGCCCAAATTTCCATCTTTTAAACCCACCTGTACCACACTGAAATCTGTCTTTCATGTATGAAAAACCTGCAATCAAGGCATTAACATTGACTATGAGCTTATATGTTAATATTTTGAATCCCATTTATTCTCTAGGTTTCTTTACAGATTATCCAGAGTGTATCAAGGACTTTGGTAATCTTATGTTTTTCAAAACAAGCAGGAAATTGTTTTGAGCCAATGGAGACAATAAGCAGTTTGATCCTCTTCCTGGAGTTACCACATCACATTTATAAATAGCTCTGTAAACAAGCTTGAACATAGTATCAGCTTGCTGTTCAAGATATTACAAAAGTTTATGAGAAGCTGCTTAGGAAAAACAAGATAGAGTCATCAGAAATCTGATCCTAGTCAATAGTGCATTCATTCCAAGTCCCCATAAATCACAAACAAATGAAACTTCCATTGTGATCACTGTTCCAGATCTAAAGGACACCCCCACCCTTGGTAGACATTAAATACATTTCAGAAGGCCTAATAATTTTTTCTCTACTAATACAGAGGCTAATTATAAAATTTCCCAAGAGAAAATAAATACTAAATTCTAATCAAGAGATGTGACATAAGAAAAATAAGAAGTACATAACTTTGATTCTCTATGTAGGGCACATGTTTATCTTTAATTATCCTCAACCTGGGAATAGAATAAATGTTACCTGTTATATTTATTATTTATTTCTAGAGTGACACTACACACTAAAAACTCTGAGGGGGAGTTAGAGCTCGTAAGTTGAAGGCTTTTCTGTAAGGGTCATCAGACAATAGTTAGTCACTTCAATAATAATGTTTCAAAAGATGTGGCCATTTCTCTCTGGCAGTTTCTCATTTCAGCCCGATGACCATAGTGTTAAAATTGTGGTTCTATAAACTCTTTCTCTGAGAGAGACGATAGCATAATACCTTTTTATAGTTTTCTGGGGGCATTCTGCCTGATTCAAATGAACTTGATTTGTTAATTTTCAGAAACTCCCTTTTGTTAATTTTTAAGATTTACTTATTGGAAAGGCAGCATGGCAGAGAGACAAGGGGAGGGAGGGAGGGAGAGAGAGAAAGAGAGAGAGAGAATCTTCCATCTTTTGGTTCACTCCCCGCAGGCTCACAACAGCTGAGACTGGATCAGGCAGAAGTCAGGAACCAAGAATTCCGTCCTGTTCTTCCATGTGAGTAGCAGGAACCCAAGCACTTGAGCCATCATCTGCTGCCTCCCAGGCACATTAGCAGGGAGCTGGATCAGAAGCATGGACTCAGACCAGACACTCAGATTCGGGATGCAGGCATCTCAAGAAGTGTTTTAACCCACTGCTCCACAACACCTGTACCCAGGTTTTTCAAAGCATCTTCTACTCATTAATCATCAAGTGACTTTGAACATGAACCCAAAACACTGCCAAGGACCTGACCCTTTTTCTCCAGAATCTGTGAAGGGTTTGGGCAGAGTGCTAGGGCATTGGTTCTCAATGGATGTGATTTGCTCCCTAGGGAACATCTGGCAATGTCTAGAGACTTTGGGGGATGGTGCTTGCTACTGGCAGCTGGTGGACAGAGGCCGGGGATGCTGCTAAACATTCCATTATGCACGGGGGAGTCCCCAAGAACAAGGAATTATCCAGCCTATCGCGTCCATGGTGCTGACACCGAGAAAGCCTGTCCTAGGGTAGGGTTGGAAGGAGAAGAGATGGAGACATCATTTCTAGCTGGAGTAAAAAGAAAACAGGAAGGAGCCCCGGGCAAGTATGTGGTCCCAGGGCTAGCTTCCCCCACCCCACACCAGAGAAGCTGGAGGATATCTCTCTCTAAGCTCAAGAAACGTTGGGGAAAGAAATAGGGAGGTGACAAGAGGCGAGGGCTGTTGAGGGGGTACGCTATCCACAAAGGGAGTTGTGGAAACACTAGTTTGCCAAAAATAAAAGAGGGAGCATCCACGTGGAGCAATGAGAGAGAAAACCAGAGTGTGTGTGCAAATTCAGGACAAAGGTCTTCGGTTCTGAAGTTCTGCTCCAAGATCCTTAAATATTGCTCATATTTAAACCCGCACAAATCAAGGGCAGCATAAACTTTTATGTTCACAGAGATCATCTTTCGAATACCGGCTTGTGGTGTACATATGGATATGCACATATTTCGCTTCCTCTCTCCCACATAATTTTTTACCACTTACATAATAGGGATTCCTTGGAACTCAGTTTTATTTCACATTAAGTTTAAAAATGGATGCCTACTTAAAAATACAACCTCTCAGGGCACAGAAAATTCAGAACCACTGCTGCAATTAATTCAACATCATTGGAATCTCCATTAAGAAATATGATTCTGACCTAGTTCTCTATGTCACGCTGCATATTCTGTTGAATCATGGAATGCTTTGTGAGAAAGGACTACAAAGCCGGGTCCCTCGATATTAGCCATCTCACTCCTCAAAGTTCAGCCAGGAGTGGGACAAAACCCTTGTCACCCTGTCGACATGTTTACTTCTGGTGTAGGAAAATATTGCTGTTGCCCAGTGCAGCTTCGCAGTCCACTCACTTGCCTGGAGACATGTATTTTATGCTTTCCTTTGATGATTTACAAATAAATTAACAGGATCCACTAAGAACTGCCAACGTATATGCGTTGCTGGAGAAATCTGAGATGTTGAAAAATGATTGTAATTTATCATATCCCAATACTTTCTTCTTAAGAACCAAATAAATATCATCAGCTAGTTTATATACCTGACATGTTTATTGCCGTATTCCCACTGAGCACTTCCCATTGTCATGTGTTCTCACACATTGTTTTCACAAATAGTGTTTTGAAAGAAGTGGAGGGAAATGCAGGCCAGAAAGCAAGATGTTATCTTTTGGAAGGGATGAGTCTGCTCTAATGGAAGAGGGTAATCCATTCAGAGGCTTGTAAAGCCAGTGTAGTCCAGAGGGTATGATAAATCCACAGGATCCGAATCCAGGCTTTCCCACTGGGACCTTGAAGTCAGCATGAGCAATCTAGTCCCCTTCCAAATAAACACAGTGTATCATTACTATTACGGGATAAACATGAACATCTGTTAGGTCACGTTTGCCCTATTTCCTTAAAGGCGATTGGATTCACTGAACACAGTTCTAATTCCGTCGATCACAAATGCATCCTGAGATGGATGTAAGGGGCCAAGCTGTTCCTCTATCATCATTGCAGTGGGAAGCCAGATTTTGTTTAAAAAAAAAATTCACCTGCTCGTTTCAGGTGGGTCGCACACATGACGAACACCGTAGAGACCACCTACTTGCTTTCTGAGCTCCAGCATAGCCATTTTCAAAAGTTGAGAGTCTGAGACAGCAGACCTTCTTTGCTTTAAAAGAAATGAGGTAAGAGGAGTCTACATATGGCTTTCTAAGAAGTTGTTCATATCCCACTTTCCTAACTCAACCTAGTGCTTCCCTAGATATTGTTCAGTTGGCACAGGATACAAATGTAATCTCTTGCTAGCATGAAGCATCCACTGACAACAGGCTACAGCTGTCAGGGATTTAAAGCGCATCTAGTTCTGCCACCCATTTTTTCAGGTAAGGCATTCTGTGACTTGCCAGAGATTATACTGAGTTAATGGCAAAGCTTTCTCCAAGACGAGGCTCGTGGGAAGTGAGAATCGGCCTTGTATAACAGCCTTCGCTCATCTGCATTTTCCAAAAGCTTTGTACAGGCCCAGCAACCAAACTCTGGGTACATGATCCTGGCTTTCAACTTGCTTATGGTCTGGGTGTGTTATAGGACTTGATCATTATCAAGCCAAGCTGTGGAAATTCTGCTCTGAGAAGTAGCCTGCTAACAACTCTTACAGCAGACCCAGGGATTCTCTTCAGTTCTTCAGGGAGCATAAAGGCCATTTCGGGGCTTTGGCGAGTTTGTAAACAACTAGCTCATCACAGAATTGTTACAATTAGGAAAGCACCATTGCACTTCTCATAGGACCGGATTCCTAAAGATACCAAATATGCTGACAGCATCCTTGCACTTGAACTAGTCAGTGATGTCTCCTAGAGGTTTAGCATCCAGGATGCCGGAAGGGGGAGCTCTTCTGGCTTGGAACCGAATGGAAGCATCTGCCAGATCAAAACCAAAAGCCCAAGTCCTTTAGAGCTGCCTTGAATAGTACGGTGGGAAGAACACCAGAAAGCCACGGAGAAGTCGTTAATCCTCTCCACTCTGTATTTTTGTTGACTGTTCCGTGCTGATGAAATCATGACAGCATTTAGGGCAGGGGGATCGAGTGTTCCACAATGTACAAACATCACAGACGTCTACCGAAGATCGCATTCCAAGAGGCGAAACAAAATAGAAGAAAAAAAGGAAGCGCATCTCCCAATCGGACTCCCGAAGGCCCTGAAAAGCATTTCAAACGTGTCCAGTAAGGCATTAAAAAGCCTCATCTCGGAGAGGAATCACTCCCTTGGTTGTTTTAATGTATTTCTGTCTACAAACAAGAGAGGTTTTTCTAAACCACTGCCTTGGCTGCCTTTGAAAGTTCTCTGGAACAAAAGTGCTGTGGGTGACCCCAGGATTACTGGGCAACTGCAACCCAGGATGTGGATGAGGCTGAAAGAGATAAAAACAGATGATGCACTTTTTGATGTCAGACCTAAAATATTGTATAATTAAAACAGAATAAAATGCTGAAGCTTAGAAACAAAGCAATAATCCTATCAGGAAAATTAGCAAGCTTATTTAAGAGAATGTTGGCCAGGTTTTTTTTTTTTAAGCATATTATAAAACCAGTCTTATGCTGCCCAGATGGCTCTGTGGGGGTGACTTATTCATGTAATTAGAATTTGCTCTCCTCCTTCTCCATCCTCCCTCCCTCCTCCTCACGCTCTTCTTTTCATAATGATAGTTATTGTTATTAGCACTTATCCAGCGCCTGGGCTCTCTCGTCCATTCACTGTACTTTTCACCACAACCGTTTCTCACAGGAACCGTTAGATGTTATTATCACCATCACTTGTTAGACCCTCTGAGTGAGGATGCTAACACGTCGAGAGGCACACCCCAAAGACTCAGAGTCCAGACCAGCTGATGCAAAAGCAAGAGGATTTATTCAGCATCTGCGCAGACGGGCCTCCTGAACTCAGGAGTCCAGAGAGCGCCCCCAGCACAAAGCCACACGGTTTATATACCCGCAGTGACCAATCAAAAGCACTATAGTGTCCATGCACACAGCAGTCCAATCTGTGAGCTGATCATGTGAAAGGCATGTGTCCTCTATCCAGTCAGCTACGGGATCACATGGGAGGCATGCACCTCGTCGCCGTTTTGTTGTTTACTTCTTTAGCAGTTCCTTTCCCTGCCAACGCCATCTTGTTCACCCTGAGGGGGACGACCTCTCGCTCCCTTCGTTCCCCTGGAGGGAGAGCAGCGTCCTGCTTCCCACACCGTTATTTGTGTATTAGGAGGCATACAAACTGGGTTAGGTCTTAGCACAGCCAGGCACAAGTGTTGCAGCTAGCTAAGCATAGGGTTCCTTATTTTTACAGCTACACCTAATGTTAGCTTTGGGGGAAAAAGTTTAGGCCTATAATTTTTAAACTTTAATTTTATTTGGGGCAAAGGTGACTTCTTGTTTTTAATAGTGTTAGTTTAAGTCACTCCATCTTGGTTTGATTTTTAAGGTTCTTCACACTTAAATAAGAAATGGATGCTGGGAGGTTTGGGTTGGCCACTGTTAGCCATCTAGAACATGGCGTAGCCAGAACTGCAGTCATCAGGTTGAATGGGGTAGCCTCGGAATTTTGGAAGGAGGTGAAGTGTGGAAGTAAATGTTAGGGACCTGTTGGGCCCCAGCCGTTGGCATAACTTAACCTCATAATCAAACCTGCTGTCTGGCCCAGTTAGGCCAAGCTCCACAGGCCCAAGGTAAATGAAATAGCTTGGTTACAGAATCTATTTACGCAACACAATGTTAACCAAAGTCTATCCCACCCATTTCCTGTTTGTATCAAATTCAAGCATACCTACTTCCTACAATGGCTCTGCTGTGGCCCTGAAATTAATTTTTTTGTTAATTACAGTGAATAACAGTATCCTGCACTGTGGGGGAGTTAAAAGACAATTTTCTATTTCAAGGAATCCCAGGGTGGTTTTTTTTCCCTCTTTCTGAATCATTCTTCTCTCTCCAAACTTGAGTTTCACCCGTCAGGACTGAATAGATAGGGGTAGGATGTACCGGCCCCCAAACTGTACTTGAATAAAGCAAGCAAATGCTCCAGTGGGGCAGCCACTCTGGGGTTTGACCAGATGGCTGTGTGACTGCAGGGAAAAAATGCACTTTTATAAACCCAGAGGCTCCTAAGTAATTGGAGACGTTCACATACGCACATGCACGCACATAATTTCTGAATTATGGGAACGATGCTGCGTGTTGCTGAGAGCTGCATCGTTTCCTTCTCTGGCCTCAGTGTGAATCCAGTCTCCGAGTAATCTCTCATCTACCCACTTTCTTCCCACACTCACCTCCTCTTCCCATGCCCCTCATTACACAAACAATCCTGAAGTCTTTTTTTTTTTTTTAAAGATCTTTTATTTATCTATTTGAGAGGTAGAGTTATGCATAGAGAGAGAGGGACAGAGACAAAGGTCTTCCATCTGCTGATTCACTCCCCAAATGGCTGCAATGGTAGGTATGAGCTGATCCAAAGCCAGGAGCTTCTTCCGGGTCTTCCCACATGGCTGCAGGGGTCCAAGCTGTTTGGTCATTTTCTATTGGTTTTTCAGGCCATTAGCAGAGAGCTAGATTGGAAGTAGAGCAGCCAGGACATGAACTGGCGCCCACATGGGATGCTGGTGCCTCAAGTGGAGGCTTACTATACTATGCCACAGCACTGGCCCTGGTCTTTTTTTTTTCAAGATTTATTTTATTTATTTGAAAGGCAGAGTTACAGAGAGGGAGGGAGAGATTGCTCTTCCATCTGCTGGTTTACTCCCCAACAGGCCACAGCCAGGAGCCAGGAGCTTCATCTGAGTCTCCCACTTGGGCTTTTTTTTTTTTCTTTGACAGGCAGAGTTAGACAGTGAGATTGAGAGAGAGAGAGAGAGAGAGAGAGAGAGAGAGAGGTGTCTTCCTCTCCGTTGGTTCTCCCCCCAAATGGCCACCACGGCTGGTGCGCTGTGGTGATCCAAAGCCAGGAGCCAGGTGCTTCCTCCTGGTCTCCCATGCGGGTGCAGGGCCCAAGCACTTGGGCCATCCTCCACTGTACTCCCGGGCCACAGCAGAGAGCTGGACTGGAAGAGGAGCAACCAGGACAGAATCCGGTGCCCCAACCGGGACTAGAACCCGCGGTGCTGGCACCACAGGTGGGGGATTAGCCACCACTTGGGCTATCTTATACTGCTTTCCCAGGTGCATTAGCAGGGAGCTGGATCAGAAGCTGCTTCAGCAGCCAGGAGTTGAACCAGCATCCATATAGGATGCTGGCACTACAGGCAGAGGCTTAGGCAACTATCCCACAGCACCAGCCCCTGGTTCTAAAGTCTTGAACTGATGGACTATTTCAAATAAAAAAGGATGATGGCTGAGAGAGAGACCAAAAGGTGAAACGGCCCTGCCTCTCTGAGTGCTTGGGGAAGACAGCCGCGGCTCTGCAGTCAGGTGTCTGGGATCACGGCTCTTCTGAGAAATGCACCTTGGTTCCAGGTCCTCTCAGCTCTGCCGCAGAGCTCCATGATAGTGAACTAAGGTCTGTGGACTGAGCTTGGAGCCAGCTGCAGAGGTGCTGCACCCTGCCTGTCAGAGTTCAAACCCAGAAGGCGACAGCGCTCTGTCACATCAAGCCACACTTTGAGGGCATGGCATGGGGCTTCGTCTTTCTCCTGCACCCATCAGCATATACAAAAGAAGACTTGAAGCCTTGTCTTGTCCCTTTGTGGAGCAGGCTGCTCTTGGCAGGCTAGCCACGGCGCAAGGAGAATAGCAATAAATACTAACTACCTTTTATAGAGTGCTCGTTAAGTGACTGGCACTGCAGGATGTGTTTCCTTAGATTTTTTCATTTGATCTTCACAGAAACCCTGGGCGAAAAGTCATAAAAACATCCCCATTTTATATATGAGGCATGGAGAGCTGGTCATTTGTCCAGATTCCCACCACTGGAAAATGCAGAGCTCAGGTGCATGCGATGATCTGAAGCCTTTGATCCTAAGTGAGTGAAGCCGCGGAGTGGCCATGCGGGCATGCGTGTTGGGCGGGGTCCTGTGGGGACAGAAACACACTGGAGTGGGGTAAGCAAGGGACATTTAAAGCAGGGTTTATTTAAAAAGGTGTGGGTGGGGTAACGGAACCAAAAGGGGTAGAAAATCCACCTCCCTGCAGGAAGCA